TTATCTTCAAAAGTTAAGGCTAACAAAAATTTTCACTGCTTAGAAAATAGCCATTGTTTACTTATATTGCAACAAATTTGATTTTCTTTACAAATCCTTCTTTCTCCTTTTAGCTTCAAAATTTCATAGAAGGACTGGCTACCTCAGATCCTAATAATCTATTTTCCTCTACCTTTTATCTCTTTACTGTCTATCATTTAATTATTAAGTATTTCTTCTTTGGCTTTGAAATTTATCATCATTATGTCATTAACATAGCAATGATTTTAGTAACAAGTGGTTTTTATTGAACTATAAACCTTACAAAGGCATACTTAGCAATTTTCTTTACTGTAGCATTTGTAGGTTCTAACATGCTACCTGACCACAGGAGTGTTCATTAAAAATGTATTACATAAATACAGAAATGATACTTCATTAAGTACTATATGGTTCCTGCATAGTATTTATTCAAAGACAGAAATTTGAATATTTATAATTTCAGACATGTTGCAGTGAGAATTTGTTTTCAACTAGGTAAATTGAAAGTCATAGCGTTTAACCAATAAATTGGTGGTGTTATCAATCAATTTATTTTTGGCTTCTCACATAATGCATGATAGACTGTAACACTCATACAGCTGTAGCAGGGGAAAGGAGTATATTATTATTATTACTATTATTATTATTATTAATTTGTCTTTTTTGAGACAGGGTCTTGCTATGCAGTTCAGGCTGGCCTTGAGCTCACTTTGTAGCCCAAGTTGGTCTCAAACTCACAACGATCCTCCTGCCTCAGCCCCCCGAGTGCTGGGATTACAGGTGTGTGCCACCACACCTGGCGAGGGGAAAGGAGTATAAAAGGGAGAGAATGCCATGGTAGAGGTGACAGCAAAATTTTCATCTAGCCTATGAATCTAAATAGAAGTCTATTTCTTCCACTAGGAGATGAGTCTTAGCAATTTTCCTAATTGCTGGGACATAATATCAGACACCCGCAGTTTAAAGAAGGTGATGTTTATTTTGGCTAACATTTTTAGTTCATAGTCTGCCTGAGGCAAGACATTAGGGCATTGTAAACTGGCTGGAGAAGTGAGCGTGACCCCTTAATTACAAAACTCCAGGATATGTGCACAGAACAAAGCCCTGCATGTAGAACCGGAGAACACTGTCTTCACTTCTTCTGGTGAGACCTTGATAGGATAGCCTAGACCTGACATCATCTTGAGGAGTGGGAGATACAAAAAGACAGGCATATTGAGCTTGGGTCACTGTGTTCTCTTTTTCACAGTGGTGCACTCTTACCCGGTACGCTGTACTTTTCTGTTTTTAATTGGCTTTCACTCTCTCTGCAGAGCATGTTTGTTTTCCTGTCTTTAATAAATGTAAAACCTCACTACCTTTTGCATTTGTCTTGACCAATTCTTTGTTCAGGACAGAAAGAACCTGGGAAACACCTCCAGAAAGAGACCTAGAACCCCAGAACATGACAAAAAGCTCACTTAAGGCAGGAAGGCATGATGGAAGGGCCCCATCAGAAGAAAACTGCTCACCTCATGGTGACTGGGAAGCAGAGGGCCAAGAAGGGAGCCAGGGAAGCAGATAGGCCTTTCTAGGTCATTCCCCCTGTGCCCTGATTCTTTTGACCAAGCCTCATGGAATAATAGCACATTTAGTTGTAGTGCCCCCTACAATTCATATCACCCTTCTAAACCTGCCCTATAAGCACAAGAGGCTTTGAATGCACATCTAGATGTACTGTAAATCACTACAGGATGTCATTTTATCTCTTATTATCCTGTCATGTTGCTGGTGGGCTAAATAGTGGAGTGAGATTGTTTTGCTACGTTTTAAATGCCACACCTTCTCTTTGCTTGGCTTTAAGATATTTCAGTGTGCATTCTTTCACTAACCATTTTCCAACTGCATAATGAGCCTATACAGATATGACTATTAAATGATCATAATCAAATGTGGGAAGAAAATACTAAAATTTCTCAAAAGCAAATTACTAAGAAAAAGATAAGGGCTATCCTAATCAGCTGTGGAAAAAGTTTGAGATTTAATTAATTTTTGAGAACCATCCTGTCATCAGGCTGGGTGTGAGGGTCTCCAAGGCTGAAATAAAGAACTTATCAACTCATTTTGTAGAATAAATGTGGGGGTTCATTGACTTTCATCCTGAAAGAAAGAATTTTCAGAACAGGTCTGTGTTATGGCTTGTATTTAGATATCCCCCCAAAGTCTCATGCAGTCACAGGTGGAGCTTTTTCAGAGCCGGTTGAATCCAGAGTATGTGACACTGGGATTGATTCATGGTGCAATGCTAGGATCAAGGAGACTAGGACAAAGAGTGTGAGTACTATCTGCCCTAAGGAAGGGCAGCCTGGATAGGACAGAAGGGACAGAAAGAGTTGTGGTTGATCCTTGTTGCTTTTGCTACCTTCTGCTCACCACAGTCTCTTTTTCCTCTGCAATGCCCTCTGCCACCCTGCCTTGGAGCCAGCTGATTATGGACTAAAACCTCTACAAGTTGTGAGCTAAATAAAACTTTCCTCCTTTAACTTTGAGTTTCAGGTACTCTTTCTTAGCAGCAGGAAAAGTAACTAAGGCAATCTGTAAGAGGCAGAAGAAGGGTTCATTGGACAGAGATATAGACTATGCTCAATAGTGTAGTGCAGGTGCTTAGAGAAATGAGACACCATAGTTGGGAATTGGGAATCCTTATGTGTTTTGGGTGGAGGGAATCTACGGAATTTGATAATCTACGGTCTTAGTGTGGTCTAGTGTGTAGGAGAGCATGCCCTGCTCATAGTAAGATAATTCTCCACTTATATGAGAAATCTTAATTTATAGGTGAAAAGGGTAGTTCATTCACAGGTGAACACAGACCATTTGCAAGTAAAAAGGGAATGGGTAAAGGTGAAAGGGAGTTGCCCAGGTTTACTGTTCAGGGAGAAGAGAAAGAGAAAAAAAATTGTAATAAAATTGTGTCCTGAAGTTGCATTTCTTAAAAGTACAATTTTTCGAATCTCGATTTCTTTGTCTCTTTTCTATCTAGTTTTATTTCTTCAATCCTACCGCAATCCCTGCCTAAGTGGTAACAGGCTTTTGTAAAATTTACTACTGTACTGTAATAGAGGCCTAAAGCTCTAAAGAAATTGTGGTTATTTGTCAATCATTTATCTCTATGGCCTTTGAAGGAATAGCAATTGCTGAATTTACATGGTGCATCTCTGTACAACTGGATATCACACCACATGCCTTTCAAGCTATGGTGCATTAGAAGAGCTGAATATCTATTGGTCCCTTAATGAGGAAGTACTTCAATCATTCTGATTGTTAGGGAGATGTGAAGCCAAATATTTCCATTTGCATATACTTAAATGGAAAGATTCTAGCAAGTTTGGAATACTTTGATGACTACATAGTACTTTATAACTAATATTTAACCTTTTTTAGGGGGAGGTATAGATTTTCATTAGTATTTGTGCATGCCTTATTGTGTTAAAATGTTTTTCCATACTACATTTCAAACTGAGAGTGAACTTATTTTAATGCATGCATTTGCTATATGACATACTTACATAAAATAAAAACCTCAATTATTTCTTCTAGATTGTAAGATCCTTTAGGCTTTTATAAAACTTATTCTTTAGTAAAAGAAAGACTATTTCTTCTTCTGTTTAAGCAACACACACACACACACACACACACACACATACACACAGAGGAAGCCAGACACAATCAGAACCCTTTTCCCTCTAGGGCTCTGATATAGAGTAAATCAATACTTTGGGCATTTTTTGAGAGTTTTACTAGACTCCTTATTCCTAGTCCTATCTTCTAGATATATAATCTACTCGCTCTCTTCTATCTCTGGACTACCACGTGAAGATTACGAAGCAAAATTATGGTTCAATGAAACTGGTCAATTCCCCCATTGTTTTATATTTACTGAATACGTGAATTCATTCTCTAGATCTTCTTATTGTACGGGGCAGTGCTATACACTATGTATTTGCGCTGGAATCTTTGTAGCTTGCAAAGACACAGGATTGATTTACAGTCTGGTAAAGCAAAGCACAGTCCACAACGGGAAAGCTGGGCCAACCATAGAAAAATGCGGGAAAGTGTGAGCGTTGCGGGGGGCAGTGAAAAACACTGAACAGTGAAGAGGTTGTGAAATAGTTCCACTAAACGTGCATTGCAATGTGTGCCCTACTTTTTTTGTTGGGTAATGGGAAGCGGAGAACCAAGACACAAGGCAGGGGGCTGTAGCTCTGTCCTTCACACTTCTCAACCCTCCTAGATCGGAGAACATGGTCCGAGGTTATACGGTCTTATTTTGTTTTTTATTTTCCTTCTTTAACTGTTCAACCCGATGACAAGCACCAACCCTGCCCAGGCAGCTGTTCCCAGGGGCAGGCGAAGGTTGCCTGCGTTGAGCTCCCTGCTGGCGCCTTCTGGACAAACAGCCGGTGCCAAAGAGCGCCCGGGAAACAAACAGCTAATGGGGGACTACAGAGACGTCATGGGTGCACATGCATGACCACAGTCTGACCAGAAAGGGGAGACACGGGGGGTGACAGTCCGCCGATGTAGGTCTCCAGGCCGCCGCAGTGGAGCGCGCACAGGTGCCTCCGGCGGGTGGCGTGGGGAGCCGTCCGCGGCTTCCGGAGCTCAGGCTCACGCGCCGAAGCCGGCTGCGGCTGGTCCTGGGTGAACCCCCAACTGGAGCCTCGGAGGAAGAACCCAAGGAAAGGGCGCGAAGGGGGAAGCTGGGTGGGAGGGGGCGGGGGAGGGACCTATGGTCTCATCCTCGGTTTCTCCTCTCCGATCTCGCTGGTGGGAAGCTTTCCTGGGCTCGCAGAAGCCTCCCTCCTCCCCTCCCAACTCCGGATGATCGTCTCCCCCTCTCCCCTGGCTCATCCCCTCCCTGCTTGCTCTGCCCTCCCTCCCTCCCTCCGCGTGCCTCCTCCCCTCCCCCTCGCCGCCCTCGTCTCGGGCGGCTGGAGCAGTCGCCGCTTCAGCGGAGCCGGAGATGGGCAGAGAGCGCGCGCCGCGCCGCAGCTCCGGACCCTCCGCTCTCCCCGCCCTCCGCTCCCTGGGCCCCCGCCGCCGCCGCGGTCGCCGCCTGGGTGTCCCCCGACTGCGGTGCCGCTCCTAGGACGGCGCCCCGCCGCTCCCGGCCCTGCCTGCCGCCTGCGCCGCGCAGCCCTCGCGCGCGCCCCGGGTGGCGCTTTCCCTCCGGACCGGTGAGTAACCCGCGGAGCGCAGGGGGTCGGGCGCCGAGGCTGGGCACCGAGAGAGCATCTGCAGGTGCAAGGCCATCGAACCACCTGCTGTGATCCCCAGCCTCCGCGCGGAGGGGATCCGGAGGGTGCTGCCTGCGCTCCCCCAGGGAGTGTTGCTGGTTTCACGACCACCTGCCCGGCACCTGAAGCCTGTCCCTCCCGAGGACAGCTGCTTGCATCCTGGCCCCGTCTTACCTTCCAGCTCCAGAGCTACCACACTAACAGCAGCAGTGCATGGCCCCGACCCTCGCGTGGCTTCAAACAGGGTCATCTTTGCCCTCACTCTTCCCTGTCTCAGCTTTCTGACCTCTCCCTCTTGCCACTGGTTTCGCGCGGATAAAGCCTTTCCACAAAACCCGCCCGGACCCACTTTCGCTCCCCTGGCAAAGCCTGGCTCCAGAGCCCCACGATCCTGCCGGCTTCCCTCTCAGAGAGAATAGTCCTCTGGGTGAATTCTGACCTCCTTCCCTCGCCAGGATGCTGCCTCTTGGCTCTTCTGACAGTCACCCCAGGGAGCTGACACCTACACGTGGTGGCCGTGCCTTCCATACAGTCAGTGCATTCCCAGCACCAGGGGCTGTGGGAGAGATCAATCTTGGAAACAGGAAGAAAAAATTAACAAAGCTTCTCAGGACTAAACTTTTTGTTACTGTTGCCTTGAAGCACACAACTAGTTACAGTGCTTAGATTTCTTCTACTCTCCTGCGGGGCTTAGCTGAGTATGGGGAACGCCCCTATTTTTACCTGTTCCGCCCGCTGTGAGTCTTCTTCCCAGGTAGAGCACTGCACCTGACTGGGAGGTGAATCTGTCAGCAGCTACACTATCTAAAGCTCAGCAACTCTTGAGGATAAGAAGCTTTTTCTTGGCGGAGAAGAGGGTGGCACCAGACTTACCCTTTAAAATCTTCTTTGAAAATGCAATAAGCCGAAGGTCTTATTTTTTCTTTAGGTTTAGTGGCTAAGGGAGGGATAATAAAAGGATTAGAAAACATTGTACCAAGAAGCTCCTGCACTATCTGGGTGCGTCCGGGGTTGTGTAACGTCTTATTATCCAAACAGTTTTTCTGGAGAAGTTTTCCTCTACAGCCCTTTCTTCTGAAACCGGGTTTACCATCTTCCTGTTCTAATCGCTTTGAGAGAAAATAGGCAGGTGTAGTTAATGAATGAATATGGACAACTGGGTGAGGGGAGGGATAAGGCATGAGGTAATTGGAATATTAAAATATGTGTTCCCAATTCCTCCTGCATCACATTTGAAAAACTACTACCCTCACACAACTTGTGATTTATATTTTTAAAAGAAACTATGAGAACATATTAATTTAACATGATATTTTATTGTGTTGAATTCTTCATCTTATGACTTCTGTTCCATGAATACAGATAAGAGTGTTTAGACAAAAATGCTAGAAACTTCAAAAGATGTCTCCAATTTCAGGACAGAGTGCATGCATATAAATTTCTTGGCATTATTATAAATAATTTCAGAGGAGCAATAATTAAATTGTCATTCTTGCTCTTGCAGTTGGTAAGAGAGATGTTACTTCTGTACTTTAAGGGAGCAAGTCTCTGCCTACACAGGAATAAAAGAGAAAGTTGAGCAACTATATTGGGAATTTGTTTAGTGAGGATTGCTTTAAAAATTTCACCCTCACTAGTATCAGGAATTTTTAATTTGTTTTGTTTTAACCCAAAATACACTTGAATTTTATTTATCTTTTTTATGCAGACATAAGCAAAACTGCAGTGATTGGTGGATTTTGGTAAATGTCAGGAAGTGCTAGAAATAATGACTTTACTGTTGGTGTTCTAAATTTGAAATTTTGGTTACCTTTAGTGCTTGCCTAACAAGAACACTTAAAGCTATGTGTTTAAATTTGTGATTACGGCAGATGCTTCCATATAGCCATGCCATGTATTTGGGTGATAAGCTAGGAAGCAAGTCTGATCATTTAAATTTTTCTTTAAATACATTTACACTTTGGGTGCAATAGAGTGATTAGTATGTAAAGTATGTCCAACAATAATAATAAATATGTATTGAAAAAGATACATCACAGCTGAAAACAAGGAAAGGCAAGAGTAATGCCCATTAATCCATTATTGCTCATAATGATATTAATTATTAGTTCAAAGCGGTATATTAGAATTCTATGTAATGTCAAATACTAAAATGGTTTCAGAATTATCTAGGAAACTACAAATTAATGTGCCATGAATTATGTCAGGAATTTCTGGTAAGAATTGCCAGTAAACTAGAACTCTTGATCTTCCAGGATTTAATGTCATTGTCATTTATAGGGCTATGCAAAGCAGTTAAATATAATACATTGGGAGACAGACACATCTTGAAATAGCATCTCCTTGAGTACCATTAAAATGTATTTCATAATGCTCATAATTACATGCCACCTAAAGGGTAGGTCTAAAATGTTTGCCCTGGTGAAGAGAAATTTTAAATTGTGGAAATAATATAAATCATTCCTTCAACATATTATTATTAGTTGAATGTTCCATGTAAAACAATTTTTTCTGAACTCTGTGGCAAAGAAAAAGAAAAACTGAGGAAGAGACAATTGCAAGGAAGGAGAAAAAGAGAGAAAGAACAAAACCTATGAATAGTTAAATTCTTAAAGCAAAAGTAATTAAATACAAGTTCTATTATTTAGGTATTTGAGATAACAGTGGTTTTCCAGTCTGAATTTCAAGAAATGTCTCCATAATTACAAAAATATTGCATCTCTGTTCTTATAAATTGGCTCATGGATTTTTTTACTCAATAAAATATAAAGATCACAGGCAAACTCATGAAATCTAATTGTATAATTGAACTAAATAAAATTCTAGACAAATTTTAAAATAAAAGTTTGAAAAAGAACACATATACTCCCACCTAAAATTATAACATTAGATTAATTGCAAAGTTGGGTGCATTATTCAATTTTATGGCTATTTATACTTATAAATTTATGAGTCTATATATTACATTACAAAATATGAATTTTATGAATTCAAAACAACCGCCAAATTGCACTTGTATATATCAAATCATCACATGAATTTTCATATGAGTTTTCTATCTTCAATCTATAAGGAGTAGTTTGCAGAAAGCATTATCATAGAATAACTATGCCAATGAATATTTCTAATGTAACATGATTATTTGACCAAAATTTTATAACAATACCATCAAAGTCATATCCTTATGAATCTACTCTAATGTATAATTACAATTCCTACAAAAAGAAACATTTGCATTCTGTTACTTTATATGTAACTTTATGAAATGTATTCTATTTACTTGAGGATGGACTACCCGGCATTCTTAATAAAAGGCATGTAGAATTTAGATATCAGAAATTATAAAGAACATTACATTCCTTCATTTTATTAATAACTTGCTCAAGTTTCCTTAGTCAGTAGCAGAAATAGAACCCAAGCCTCTGAATCCACTCTGCATCTATCTTTTATAAATTAAAAATGAGCACCCCTACACTTTATTTTGAGCAAGTAATAAGACAGACAGCAGTTTCAGGATTAAGGAAAATGGGAAATAAATAAAATATCAACACTTCTTCACATACCATGACAATGTTTGATCTTATAACCCTGATAGTTCTTCTTACTCTACCTGTAAATTAAAGTGTGGGAAATATTTTTAAAATTACACAGGTCCACCTAAAATATTTTAGTCTTATTTTAGAAATTTCGGTATGAATTGTTTACTTATATACTGCAAATTTCTTTATTTTATTTATTTATTTATTTTTTGGTTTTTCTCTGGTACCAGGAACCGAACTCATGACCTTGCGCTTGCCAGGCAGGCACTTTGCTGCTGAGCTAAATCCCCAGCCCCTATACTGCAAATTTCTTTTGCAGTAATGATATGCTGTGGATACTTCCAGTTTAACTTTTATAAACAGTTGTCTGTAAAACATTCCAAAAATAGATATTGGATTCTAAAGCCAACAGGGGAAAAGCATTTACAGTTTCTTCTATATGCTTACTTAATATTTATGTCACCAGAAAAAAAGTTTGTGCATCTATTTGTTTACTTTTTTATGTTTATTTTTGTCTCCATACACTCTCTCTCCATAGCTTGAGTAGCCAGGGAAGATAAATTTGTTTCACAAAATTCTAAGTCTACAGTGGAAAATACTGGCACTTTTAGCTTTTCCTTCACCCATGACCAAAGGGATCAATGTAAGTGAATGACTAAATCAATGAGAACCTGTCATTGCTACAGAGTAAAGAAAAAGATAAATTTTCAACTGTAGTCTTGTTGATGGAGGCTCATCACTGTCAGGAAGGATAATTTGGTAATTATGTTGCCAACTCCGTTACATTACCTGGACCAAAACTGGGTTATCTAAATGTGGCTGGGTTGATGGAAGTTAAAGGAATCACTGATTTTAGACTGCTTGTGGTTAGTTTAAAAGATAGGAGGAAACCTTGTTTTAAGTTTTCCTTGTTGAAGGAATTGGCCTTCTTTCAACTCATTAAGATGCAGATTTATCTGAAAGGAGAACTAAGGCTTTCGTGACCTAATTTCTCTGGAGTGTAATTCAGCCTCCATCTTGAGATCTCACCAAAGAGCCAGAAGTGAAGTTAAGACTGTAGACCCTTGAATGACTATTACACAGGCTCTGATCTCAAACAGCTTACAGTTTAACTGGGAGGCAAATGACAAACGAAAAGGACTGATGAGACACTGGACTCACTTCAACTATTATAACTACAGTGCTACTGAGCAAGAATGTCAGGAGAAAAACAAAAAAGGCGATAATGTAGTCAAAATCTGCCTTGTGTAAAACAGGTAGAGTTATGTCATTGCTGTGGCTTGACAGTAAAATAATCTATTTTCTTAAAAAAAAAAAAAAAGAAGTTTCTGCTGGTTCCTAGATTTTCCATCTCCAAAAAAAAGATTTGCTGTCAATGTGAAAAGCTATTCTTATACATAT